ACATTGATTCTTCTGTTCCTTACAGTCTGGAGAACTGTGACATAACAGCTGACAGCTGTGGGGACCTGGCCACGGTTCTCAGTACAAAGCCTCTTCTGTTAGATCTGGCTGTGGGTAAAAACAATATTGGAGATGCAGGCTTCACTCTGCTGTGCAAGGGACTGGTGTATCCCAACTACAATATACAGAAATTGTGGTAAGTGAAGCCTGGGATGGCTTAAAATCTTGTTGAACGTGGTGGCTTCTAAGCCATATCCGCCATAAGGCTGATCTGATCCTGGGGTTTGTGTGAGGAGCCCTGCACTGACGGGGCAAGGAAGCACACTGAGATCAGTGACCAGATAGAGGGATGATGGTATGCCAGCCCTCATCAGTTTTCAGGTGTCTTGCATAGACAGCTTTTTTTTACATTTTAAATAAAATCAGAGCTTCTAAGGGAAGGGGAAGAGGGAAGGCGGGGAAAGCTATGATTTCCTTTGTTTACAAGCCATATCTGTGCCTTTGTTTCTGTACATGTGCATGTAAGATGGGGAGAGAAATACAAGGAAACCAAGAGTAAAGGCTCTTTCCAAAGATCTACCTATCTGGGTGACACAGGTCTCTCTGGACCCTGGCTGGGAGAACTCTGGCACCAGCCAATCTTCCTATTGTCCTCTCCAGGTTATGGGAATTGTGATCTCACAGCTGCAGGTTGTAAGTATCTTGCCAATATCATTGGTACAAAAGAGTCCTGTATACAGATGAGCCTTAATTTAGATGAGCTGGGAAATGAGGGAGTAGAATTGCTGTGTGAAGGACTAAAGGACCCCAAATGCAAACTCCAGTCTCTATTGCAGCAGGCTTTCAGCTCAGTCACTGATATTGTAGGTTTGATACTTAGAATCATAGAAAATTGGGGCCAGAAAGGACCTCAGGAAGTCTAGTCCAACCCCCTGCTCACCACTACATGCTACCTGTATAATAAGGCCCTACTTCATGGTGATCCTGCAGGGAACCGATGCTGACTTTTAGGAGCTGTCAACAGATGTTTGCAATTGAAGCAAATCAGCTGTGCTGAGATGTCCCAGCAAAGCTGATCCACTTCAGTGGGCAAAACAGACATTGCCTATTGTCCTGCAGTGCTGGGTCCCTGATGCTCCTCTGAGCATCCGGGGCCTACTCTTGAAGGACATCGCTTGGGACATGTCTCTGCAAACAGGGGGACTAAGGGTTCCCCTGCTTGCAGAGGTGCCCCCAACGATTCCAACTTAGGGTACGCCTCCTACTGAACATTGATTCTTCTCTTTCTTACAGTCTGGATAACTGTGGCATGACAGCTGATAGCTGTGGGGACCTGGCCACTGTTCTCAGTACAAATCCTTCTCTGCTAGATTTGGCTTTGGATAACAACAATTTTGGAGATGTAGGCTTAGTTCTGCTGTGCAAGGGACTGATACATCCCAAATGCAATATACAGAAGCTGTGGTAAGTAAAGCCTGGGGTAGCTTAAAATCTTGGTGAAGGTGGTAGCTTCTAAGCCATGTGTCCACCATAATGCTGATCCGATCCTGCTTGGTCTGTAGAGTCCTCAGCTAGCATATCCCTTATGGTTATCAAGAGGGAATGCTTCTAATGGGAACAACAAATCTCTCTCATGGGGGTCAGGGGTGGATGTGAAGAACCCTGTTGGCTGCAGCCAAGGCAGGGTGTTGTGACTGGTGCATGCTAGTACTCCTGCTGTGACTTAAACCCAGAAGCTCCTGGCTAGAAGGTCATGCCCCTCCACTCAGGATCTGGCTGATCACCATATTTGTGGTCAGGAAGGAATTTTACCCCATGATCAGACTGGTGTGGACTGTGGCTTTCTCTGCAGTTGGGGCCTGGCCCCCTTCCTGGAATCTCTTGAGTGTATGCTAACAGCCCTAACAAAAGCAGGGCATTGACTGCTGTGGTCCCCCTGCTTTTCCTGTAGCAGGTTAGGTTGTTATGTCTGGTGTTGTATCAGAATTGAGGGTGTAGTTTTTGCTAATAGGTTAGATAATAGATATGTATAGGTAGTTTAGGTAGGAGTGATCCTGCCTCAGGTAGGGGGTTGAACTAGTTGAACTCTGGAGGTCCCTTTCAGCCCTACTTCTCTATGATGCAGAGGGGATGCTTCTAATGGAAACAACAAAGTCTCCTCCTTCTTCCCTGGGGTTTCTGAGGAACCCTGCACTAAAGGGGCAAGGAAGCACACTGAGGT